GCCAGACGCCTGCACCAGCTGATTCTGCCATAGGTCCAGCCCCTACCCACTGCCATTCCCCCTGGTGGAATTTCACACCCTGCACTGTGCCCCTGGGGGGTCTTGGGTACAGACTCCCATCAGCTCCATGGGAATCCAGGCTGGAGAAAACCCCAAAACCAACTCACTGCCATTGAGTCGATTCTGACTCACAGTGACGTCCTTTGAGTTTCTGAGGCAGTAAATCTTTATGGAAGTAGAATGCCCAGACTTCCTTCCATAGAGTGGCTGCTGGGTTTGAACCGCCAACCTTCTGCTTAGCAGTCCAGTGCCCTAGGCATTACACCACCAGAGCTCATTCTGGGCTCGAGAGAGCATGCAATTCTGGCCTCAGACCAGTAGAGGGCAGCAGTCAGCCTGGCGCAGGGGCAGGAGAGTGAGAACCAGGCCCTCACTCCCCAGGGAGGGCCAGGAGACCCTGGGAGGCAGAGTCGGGCTGCCAGGCCTGGCTTGGGGCTCAGTGTGAGCTAGGGCAGGGCCACAGGGCTCCTGCCCACCCTAGCCTGACCCAGGCCCACAGGGTGCCTGCAAGGTCAGACTCTCCCTCTCTGCAGGACCTGCACCTCGCACCCCACCCCAAAGACCTAAAAGAGGGCGAAATGGGGTGAGGGGGTTGGCGGGGAGGGCACACAACAGGCAAAGAGCCCCAGCGCCCCCCACTGTCCCCCGGGGAACAGGCTCAGCTGCAGAGAGAAGCTGATAACCGGCCTTCAGCCCTGTAGGGTGTGCTCGGAAGCCGTGTGCCATGCTCCAGAGCCGTCCGAGGGGAGGGGAGGCCGTCCTGCCGTTCACCAAAGCGGATGAGGCTGAGTTCGGAGGCTGCCTTTCCCAGGGCGGCACTGCCTCCACTCTATTATTGTTAGTTTAAACTAATCAGCAATCTTTGCCTTCAGTTCTCAAATGCAAGAGGACGTAACACAGCACCTCACTGGTCTCAGTGGTTTTGCTTCTGGGTCCTTCTCAGGCTCTGGTCTCGCCCCTGGCATCATGCCCCCACCCCGCTCAAGGCCAGAGCCAGCCCCTGGTGGCGTAAAGCGGGGTCGGCAGTGGCCAGCATTTGTGTCCCGCCCTCCCCACCCTCAGAGGTGCTCAGCACAGACAGGCTGAGAGAGAGGTGTCCGGGGGCGCTGGGGGGCGGGGCATTCCTGGGTCCGCGTGGGTCTGGGTGGCCTGCCGCAGGACTGTGCCGCACCCTGCAGCACAAGATGGCATGATTCTCCGAGTGCTCCTTTCCCTGCAGCCTTCCGCCTCTCTCCGTCTGGTTCACGTGGGCTCTCTGGACACCGTGTGCTCAAATATCTGCCCGGTGACCTGCTCCTGGTGGGCAGCAAGCCTGTCCCAGAGGAGAGGTCCCTGGGCAGCCCCTCCTCGGGATGCCTTCCCAGGCAGAGTGGTGAGTTCCACCCCGCTATGTCCACACAGTGACACCTCTGCCAGCCCCTGGGTGGACACCAGGGTGGACACTGCGTGACTGGCTCCAGCCTCTACCCAAAGGACATACAGCCTGGCACAGCTTCCCGCCTGGCCTTTCTCACCACTGCAGCGCAGGCCATCCCTTCCTTCCTCTGAAGCCCCACGAGGAGGGACACAGGCCAGCGGCTGTGGTTCCTGGTGGAGTGTGACTGAAGGGGACACTGGTGGCCGTGCAGTGGGAGCTGGGGCGTATGTGGTGCAGTGAGGTGGCCCGGGAGGATGATCCAGTGGGAGGCGTGGCTTCTGAGAAGAGGGGGCCCTCTGGCTGTCCCATGGCTCACGGTGGACAGATGGTGGCGCAGACACTGGGTTACAGCCAGGCCTGGGTCAGAACAGTACCTGAGGCCTCTGGGGAATGAGGTACCCAGAACTTGAGCCTGCAGTGAGACCCTGAGGGGAAGGCAGGGCGTCCAGGGGCCTGAGGGCTGCAGGCCATAACCTGGTGCCACCTGGGCGGCATGCGCTGGAGGGGCATGCCTGGGCAGAGCCCCTGGGGAGGGCTCTGTGGGCCCACAGACTTGGGGCTACGCGTGAAGCCCTGGGCTCGGGCTGACCTGCCGGGGGCCAGGCAGGAGGAGCTAGTTGGATGAGGGCTCGGGGCCATGCAGCCTGCTGCCCTGGTGCTGATGTCAATACCAGGCTGCTTGGGGACAGGCCAAGAGGAGGCTCCGGGGAGCTGGAAGGGTCCTTATGAAGGCCACAAGGATGTGACGTGACATGGAGACGGGCACACCTTCGGCTGGAAGCACCCGCAGTTGCTCTCAGATCTGAGAGCAGGACGGGGCCTGGCTCCCCCACTCCAGCTCCCTCCCAAGGCAAGTGTCTCTGCTGGGACCAAAACTCCAGGGTCAGGGCGCTGGTGGCCCCCAGAGGCGGTCCGTCTTGTTGCCAGGCAGCTCCCACCTGCCAGGTCTTCCCGGAAGTGCAGGCCTTTGTGTTTTCGGCCCCTCCTTTGGCCCTGCAGACGGTGTTACCCCCCTCCCCCACTGCAGGACTCACAGGCCGAAATGCAGCCAGAGCACGGGAAGTTCCAGGCCGCTCTGTCCTCGGGACTTCGTCGGCCCGGCGCCTTCCTCTGAGGCACTCGGGGGCTGAGCCTCAACAATGTCACTGCTTGAGTGGGGACACGCTGCCTCTGTGGCCACAGCATCACCCTCCCCCTCGGCTGTGGCTCACGCCTGGATCCTCTCCAAGGCTCGGGTGCCCACAGACACGGGTACCATCCCAGGTCTCCTCTCGACTCAGATGTCCTTGATTTGTGGGAACCGGTGGCCATCAGAGGGCAGGGCCGGCCATTTCTTCTCCTCCCAGTGCCCGCCCAGTGCCTGGCCTGGGAGGGGCTGAGCCCAATCTGCCCAGTGGAGGAAGATGCAGTCTGTCCCCGCGTGACGCCATCCGTAGTCCCAGGGGTCAAAAAGGCCTCTAGGCCTGTCTCCGTCTCCACTTGGTATCACCGGTCAGTTTCACCATCCGGTCACCCTTGCTTCCTTCCAGAAGAGATCCCTGTGGTACCACGAAAGACGCCTCATCGGTCCATAAGAAGTGACCAGACACTTGAGCAGAGAGGCGCCGGGCAGTAGTCCCATCGAAAGAAGCAGCAGCTGTCACCGTGACTTGTGCTCGGTGAACCTATGCTAGCTCCGGGGCTCACCTTTCTTCCCTAAGCACCCACTGGACCTGGGCTTGATGAACCAGAACTAGAAGCCGCCCCCGGGCAGTGTGACTCGGCTCCCCACTCTGCGGCCCCAGCTCTGCCTTCTCCTGCAGGGACTCTGGGGAGGGAGTACTTCACCAGGTAGACCAAACCAAAACCAAAAACCAAATCCACCGCCATCGAGTTGATTCTGACTCATAGTGACCCCCACTGGGCTTCTGAGGCTGTAAATCTTTAAGGAAGTAGATTGCCCAATCTTGCTTCTGCGGAGTGGCTGGTGGGTTTGAACCAGCAACCTGTGGGTTAGTAGTCAGATGCCTTAGGCACTGCGCCCCCAGAGCTCCTTCCAGGTAGGCCAAGGGCATCAGGTGCTGGAGTGTGCTCTGAGCAGCAGGAAGGGCGCTGGTCGGGCACCCCCTGAGGACGCAGCCTGGGGGCGGTGTGGACGATGCAGTGCCCGGGAGCCAGGCTGGGTTAGGGGAAGGGCCGGGGGGCACGGTGCGGACACGTCAGGAGCCACCGGGCGGTGCCGCTCCCGGGCAGTGCCGAGCGAGCCGGCCTCTGGCCCGGCCCTCGCCAGCCCGTGCAGCCAGTTTCTGGGACAGAGCCAGCAGGAGGGTGAAGCCAAAGTCCCAGAGCAGGGAGGCGGCCCGTGCGGAGCGCAGGAGGGCAGGTGGAGGGAACGGGTGGCGAGGGCTGGGGCCTGGGGCCCGAGGCAGGCCTGGGCGGGCCGCTGGGGCCTGGAGCTGCCCCACCAGGGGCTCTGGGAGAATGTGAGGGCCAGCACTTCCCCCAAGCTGCATTACAACATGTAACTGAAGCACTCTGACGGGAAGGCGGCCAAGCAGGTAGATTACAAGTGATTAGTGAAGATAAGAGGCCTCCACGCAGGGCCGCCCCCAGGCTGTCCAGCCTCCCGCCAGCCTCCGGCCCCAGGCCCTCGTGGGGCTGTGCCCCTCAGCTCCACCAACAGGTCACCGTGGGCTGAAGGCCCACTCTCCACCTCCCAGACGAGGGCACATACTTGCCTGGAGCTCACGGAGGTGGCAGCCGCAGGGGTCACCGGCCCACCTCGTTGGGCCCAGTCCCCTGCAACGTGCTTGGGGCTGGGTGAGGAGGCGCTGGGAGCTGGGGCTGTCGGCGGCATCTTCCACACACAGACAGCTCGCAGGGGCCCTCCCAAGGCCTCCGCAGCCCGAGCCACCCCAGGGAGATCTCACCTCCCGGGAGATCCAGACGGGCGCCCTTACCGGCACGGTCTGTGTCCCAGCTATGGACTGTGTGCTGGCGTCGGTGCCCGGCTCCTCAGGGTGGCTCTGTGCTGGTGTGTACAGGGCCATGCCGTGTTCCGGGGGCACGGGGGTCTGGCCTGAGTAGTCCTGTGCGGGGTGGGGCGGGGGCGGGGCGTACTCGGCGGGGATGCTGTTCTGTGGTGGAGGGGGGTACTGGGCCGGGGGGTAGGGCTGGGCCATCGCTTCGGGGGGAGCCGTGGCGTCCTGACTGCCCTGTGAAGACACAGAAAGGTCTGGTCGTCATCTGGCTCGACTTGGACACAAGCCCCTTCCCAGAGCCCTGGGACGGACCTTCTCAAGTGAGTGGGGTTTTCCTGTCGAAAACCATGCCTTACCCCAGTTGGGGCTCTCCCCACATGGGGTGCCAGCTCTGAGCTGGAGGAGGTGGTCCTGGGGAGCCCCGCTTAGCTCAGGTCTGGAGAGGGACACCCCTGGTTTGAGCCTGCTTAGGATACGCTATATAATAATAATTCATTAGGGTGAAACGTGCATAACAAAATCAACCATTTAAAGGGTACAGTTCAATGGCACTGACCAAGCCGTGTAAATGCTATCCGACCACTACTCCTATGTAGTTCCAGAACCTTCCACCACCCCACACCCAGGAGGCAGCTTATCAGGTTTTTTCCTTTTAACCCACTAAAAAAGTGAAGTTTTCAATTAAGCTTTTTGTTTTGAGATACTGTATATGCACACCCGGTGGACAGAGGCAGCAGAGATCCCCTGGGTCCCACTGCCCCGGGGCGGGGGGACACCTCACAAAACCCCAGTCAGCACCACAGCCAGGATCTCCACATCCTTACGGTCAAGGTACACCCATTCCATCAGCTCAGAGAGCCCGTCCGTTGCCCTGACAACCACACCACTTCCTCCTGTCTTACTTAAAGTTTTTAAACCTAAGTTTCTCATCTGGTAGCACAATGGTTGAGTGCTCAGCTGCTAAACGAAAAGGTCGGTGTTTGAACCCACTAGCCCTGTGGGAAAAAGATGAGGCAGCCGGCTTCTGTAAAGATCACAGCCTTGGAGACCCTGTGGGGCAGTTCCACTCTGTCCTCCAGGGGCTCTGTGAGTCAGAATTGACTCCACGGCAGTGGGTTTGGGGTTTAGTGTGGGTAAGAGAACATGCTTTGTGAGTCTGTAGGTTGGATCCAACCAAGTCACCATGTAAGTGGATCGCGGAGACTGGCTTGAAAAAACAAGAAAACACAAACCCACCCCAGATGATGGCATTGGGGCAAGGTGTTGTCCACGTGGGCACGGAAGTCCCAGCTTATGCTTTCAGGGATCCCGGAGACTCTCTCCCAAAGAGCCCCCCGCCACCTCCAAAGTCTGCTGCCTGGCAGGGCAGAGGGTTTCTGGGCCGCTGACTCTGGCCACTTCCCAGTGGTTCCCAGGGCTCGGCACAGTGGCTGGAACCCCGCCAGCAGCCTCAGCACCCCTGGGGGCTTGTCAGAAACACGGTCCGCAGCCTGTCCCAGGCCTCTGGCATCAGACCAGCCGTCCGAGTGTGAAGATGGGTGACTCTTGGGGTGATGCTGGGAGCTGCCCAGAAGCTGGGGGTTCACGTCCCCTCAGGCACCTTGGAAGAAAGGCGTGCCAATCCATTCTGAAAATGGCCATTGCGAAGCCCCGGGGGCACAGCAGGGCTTCCGCCACAGGGCTGGAGCTGACCAGCTGGCACCTGGTTTTCCAGGCGCCTCTGAGAGCCGCTGATGGGGGTGGGGCAAGCCGCCCCGGAAGGAGGGGCGAGGCCCTGCGATGGCGCCAGGGGCAGGGGGGAGGGTGGGCTCTGGCCCTGTCCGTCTGTCTTCCACCACGGACTCGTGCTGGGAGCAGCTGCAGCAGGACCCTCCCTGGCGTTTGAAGGGGGCCACCAGGAGGAAGAAAGGGTGTCCCTCCATCACCGGAAAGAACAGGCGTCAAGTCTCACTTGAGCAGCCCCAGTGGAGGGCCGGGCCGAAGCGGACAGATCTCACCCTCACAGCTGCCCTGAGGGGGGCGGGCAGGAGCCATTTCCTGTTGGATGTGCCAAAGCAAACCAAAAAAACCAAACGCACTGCCATCGAGTCGACTGAGACTCGCAGCGACCCCTCCTTGGGTTTCCGAGGTGGTATCAGTACGGAAGTAGACTGACCAACCTTCCTTCCGAGGAGTAGCTGGTGGGCTTGAATTGGGGGGAACGGAATTGTGGAAGGATGCAGCTGGGAGCCCCACCCTCAGGGCCATGAGCCATGTGCCAAGGAGCGGCCGCCTCCTCCTCCTCCTCCTCCTCCTCCTCCTCCTCGGCAAAGCCCCCACCCCTGCTGGTCCATCCTCTGCAGGCCCTGAGACGGGCAGCACTGGACCTCCAGAGGAGGAGGACAGACAGACAGGCACAGACACACCCCTCCCACACAGAGACTCACAGACACACACAGATCCACACACACTCACACTCACACATACACACATTCCCACTCCATCACACATCCTCACACGTACATGCTCACGGTCACATACACACACACATACACACTCAGACTCATACACGTTCACGCAGTCACACACACATGTGCTCCCCCACTGGCCCCACAGCCCCTGCCCATTACAGGTGTGGTGGTGAGGGGTCCAGCCCACAGCTCCCAGGGAGAGCCCGGAGGGAGGCCTGCCTGGCAGGAGGGAGGGGCGGGCGGGGCGGCAGGGCTGGGAGGCCCCTGGGATGGCAGGGAGAGGAGGGACCTGGCAGGAGCCAGGGGTGAAAGAAAGCAGGGCACGGTGCACGAGGGCGGGAGGGCAGTGTGGAGATGCAAGGGCGGCGAGAGACTGTCGGCCTGCAGACACAGAGATCAATTACCTGATAAATATTTGATTAGCGCCTTGCCAAATTACACATCACACACCTCCTGGTGCCCCTCTTCCCTCCTCCTGCAAGACCCCAGGAAGGGCGGGCTGCTCTCCTGGCCACTTGCTTCTCCCCGCACCCCGGCTCTCCCCACGGACACATGTGACCCCTACCCAACTACCAGGTTCCACCTGAGGCCGAGGGAGGGAGGCTGGGGGCAGCTATACATCACACCATGGCTCACAGTTACCAGGGCATCTGCAGCATGAAGGGGTGGCCAGGGTGCTGGGGGCATGAAGAGAGCCCCAGGGCCTGGGTCTGGGAGGGCCTGGGGCAGGCAGGGAGGCAGCCGTGAGATGGGGCCACTCCAGGGATGACGGACACAGCCCGTGTGCACCCACGGAGCGGCCTGCTTGCAGACAGTAACCCGCTGATTCCCCTCCAACCCCGGCAGGCGGGCACTATGACACCCCTCACTTCACAGCTAACGAACGGAGGGAGAGACGCTGCAGGTTTCCCAGGCTGGGCCACGGAGGAGCGAGGTCAGCAGCCCACACTGCCTAACTCCATCTCAAAACGTAAACTTCCACCTAAATGCCGACAAGTGCTCGCTGGGTAGCACAAACTGTTGGCTCTTCACTGCTCAGCTGAAGGCTGTCTATTCGAACCCAGCCACCGGCTCTGCGCAAGACAGGCCTGTTGGCCTTCTGCTGTTAGGACTACAGCCAAGAAAACCCTGTGGACAGTCCCACTCTGTCCCACGTGGTGGGAACCAGGCGTACGACGCCAGGGGAGTTCAGGACACAGAAATGGTGGCTTACGACGGAGGTGAGGGGTGGGGGCACCTCTTCCCAGCTCAGTGTTCAGTGAAACCACGACGGGAACCGGCCAATGGTGCACATCAGGCCACCGTCTCCCCCGAGAGCAGGCTGTTAAACACACCTGCCTGCCGTCACACTGCAGGTGACCAGGCAATGCAGACTCACTGGCCCTGGCCTGGACCATGTGCCAATGTGCTCCTGGCTCCACAGTCTGTACGTGAGATGGGGGGACAGGCGGAGCTTGGGAGCGGGCAGGGGAGGGGAGGGAAGAGCTGTGGGAGCCTTGGGCACTGCTGGGCCCTGGCCCCACCCCCACCCTCCGCTGCTGCCTCCCACTGCTCACATCCCCCTCGGGCCCTCAGCTCCCAGGCACTGCACGACAATTAAGCTAATTGCCTCTCAGACTCCCTCATCCTCTGAGGGCCCCTGGTCCCTGGCTGGCAGGGCTGTGGTGGGAGGGAGGCTGGCGGCAGAGGCTGGGCACTGGGCCATTTCCTAGCACCGCTGGGCAGAGCGGCTTCCAGGCAGGCAGGACGAAGAGAAGGCAGGCAGAGCAGCCCCCAGCCACGCTGCGACGTGTGATGCCCCCGGCCCACCTAGGACACCTGCCCACCCTGGGAGGTGAGCCCACCCTCCTGCAGCCATGGGCTTCTTTGTGCCACACCCTCCTGGACACAGCCTGGCAGTGCTGGGCCTTCCTCACCACCATGCCCACCGGTGCCCGACACTGACCCAATGCCACGGTCTTAGCTGACTCTCGGCTATCACAACCAGGGATGGGACACACAGAGGGACAGATGGGGTTTACTGAGGGCCTGTGATGTGTAGGCCCTGCCCTGGTGGTCCTGCAAATATGCCCACTGAAGCCCCTGGTGACAGGAGGGGTAGGTGGGGAGAGCATAGCTTCACGGAGGTGCCACTGGGCTGATGGTGACCTGGTTCACAGCCAGGACCCCTTCCCAACTCGATCATGTTTGAGGCCTGATGGTGAGTTTCCTGTGTCAACCTGGCTGGGCTGGGCTCCCAGGTATGGAACTGAACACCACTCCAGGGGCTGCCTTGAAGGCACCTTGTGGGTATGGTCTTAAGTCAAGGAGTGCACCCTCAGTGATGGGGCTGGGTCTCATCCAGTCAGCAAATCAGAGCAAACAGAGGCTCCCCAAGTGCCACCGCCCACCGGGTTCCCAGCCAGTCTGCTCCACAGATTTCAAGTTCAAGACCAGACATCAACCTGACCTGCATTTCCCGCCCACCTGCCGGCCTGCCCCACCCATCTAAGCCCTGCCAGTCCTTGCAACTGCCCGGGCCAACCCCTTAGAGTAAATCCCTTTAGATACATTGTTGTTGTTGTTAAGTGCCGTCGAGTCGTTTCCGACTCATAGCGACCCCATCCACAGCAGAACGAAACACTGCCCAATCCTGCGCCAGCCCCACAATCCCTGCTATACTCGAGCCCATCATCGCAGCCACCGTGTCAATCCATCTCCTTGAAGGCCTCCCCCTCTTTCGTTGACCCTCCACCCTACCAAGCATGACAT